CCTTGTCACTTTTTTGTCAAAAATGACCCTTTCCACTGACTCAAGACCTGACATTGGCGTATCCAGTTGAGTTTTTTGTTAGTAGACTGTCACTAAAGACTTGGTAGAAGTCAGAGCGTGACTCTCACATGTGACCAATGCACGTGACTTTTGATATTCTGAAGTAATTTGTTGATTGGTTCGAATCGGTTTGACTCGAGTTAGTTCAATTTGTTTGGTTCAGTCACCTCTAGACTTGTCTTAAGTATTTTTATAATGATTCTTGAGGTTTATAGACGTGCTCTTTCACTTTCGGAGGTTAATTGACTCATATTTTAATTTTTTATTCACTTTGCAAGTTGATATTGGATAAAATGTGTTTGGTGTTAGAGGAGCATTGAATTGATTTGAAATATAAGTTGAGTTTTTTTAGTTACATTATATGGAGTAGATAGTTCAATTACGAATAATGATTTACAATATACTTTATATGAAACTTTTGATTGATATGGATATGTTGAGAAAATTAAAATTATCAACATTCTGCAAGGTTGCGAGTTTTGGTAACCTATGAATTTTGTAGAAGATGTTATTTAGGATCTACATTCCCCCCAAGGACATTATGTATATGATAAATGTTATCAAATGAAATTGAAAATTATTTCTCAATATCTAAAATAGTGAAAGAATGTGTTTTCTCTGCAGTAAACAAGAAGTCACAGGAGCAACATGATACTTATTGTTATAAATGGCTGAAAGATATAAAACTAGTTATCTAGAATTTAAGTGATAAGATTGATGTATATGAAATTAAGATAAAAAAATAAAGAAACTCTCGAATATGCAATTACACAGGAACCGAACATATCTTAAACTTTAATAGCATGTGAAGAACAAGAAAATGATGAAAGAGTGAATGACTTGGTGATTAAGCAAAAACTTATGGAAGTGTTGCAATGTAATGATAAAAAATTACATTCTGCTTCTTGCTTCTCCAAGTAACCAGGTTGCTTCCTACGAGCGTGCAATGAATAATAGTTAATCTCCTACATCTGAAGATCCAACCCAATCAACGTCTGTAGATCCAGCCCAATCAACATCTGTAAATGTTTCTATCTTACAGTGACTATTTTTGAAGAAGAACATACTTTTTCCTGATGTAGATTTTAAATATCATAATATATGAAAAAAGGTATGTAAACGAGGCTCGCGAGGATCATGCACGTGCGAAATCACCAGGCTAATTGTATATGCTAAATTAGGTTCGGTATGTGAGAGATAAATAAGTTTTCCTACTAATTTCTGATATCTATCCAAGTCTACTGATGTACCAATTCTCGCTTATAATTTGTGATTGCTTTCAATAGGAGACTCTGCCGGCTTGCAGTCCATCATAACAGTCTCTTCTAATAAGTATATGATATATTTTCTTTGAGAAATAAAAATTGTTTTATTAGATATGACAATTTCAATTTCCAAGAAGTACTACAGTTTTCCTACGTCTTTTATTTCAAACTCTTGAGTAAGATGTTCATCAATCGAGGCATTTTCCTTGTATTATCTCTAGTTACAATAATATCATTTACATAAATAATGAGAAAAGTGATCTTATTATCGCAATGTTTGATAAATAAGTATGATCAACATTGCTTTATTGATATCCAAAAGAGATCATAACTCTTTTTAAAATTTTTAAATCATCCTCTTTGAGACTGTTTCAACCCGTATAGGGACTTTAATTTGCAAACGTTCCCTTGTGTTTATTCATCTTCAAATTCAGGGAAAATCCCCATGTATACCTCTTCTCTAAATCTCCATAGAGGAATATGTTTTTCACATCAAACTGTTATAAGTTACAATCATAGTTGGCTGCACAAGATAACAATATTTTGATTGTATTCATTTTCGCGACAGATGCGAATATCTTCTGATAGTCTACTCTATAGGTCTGAGTAAACCCTTTAACTACTAATATAACTTTTTACCTTTCAATCAACTTGTATGTTTTGTGTTTCATAATACACATCCATTTGCAACCGACCATCTTTTTTTTTTGATGGAGGTAAAATAAGATCTCAAGTTTTATTCTTTGCTAAAACTTTCATTTTTTCAGTTATGACTTTTTTTCATTTGGGATCCTATAGGGCTTCTCTCCAATCCTGTGGAATAGACACAGACAAAACAAATAAGACAAAAACTCTATAAGAGGGGGAGTTATAAGAAATAAAGTTAGGCATATGGTACTTAGTGCAAGACTTGACTCCTTTTTTAAGAACAATGAGTTTATCTATATTATTAGATAAATAACAAAATAAAGGTAACTCACCAGTATTTTCAGGAACTGAGGAAGATTCTTGACTTGAAATAGAATGCATGTGACTTTCTTTGTCTTATTCTTCCTTTAAGACCTCTTCAAGTCTGGTCTTTTCAGTTGCCCAACGCTATCTTCTTGAATGAAACTTTCCGAAGTAGAACCCTTTAATATAACTGTTAAGAGTTAATGAATTAGGCATAACCTCTTCCTTCTCACTCTCCCCTGAAATGGTGTTGGCTTTAACCAAAATAAAGCTCGGATTTCTTAAAAGTAACATTCATAGTTACAAAATATCTTCTAGACAGAAGACGGTGATACTTATAATCTTTTTAAGTAGGGAAACAACTAACAAATGCATATTTAAGAGCCTTGGGCTCCAACTTTTACGGATTGCTAATATGGACAAAATAAACACATTCAAACACTTTTGGGAGAATAATATAAGAATTTATTCTTTGCAAAATCTACAAAGGACTCCTAAAATCAATAGTTTTTAGGGGTATTCTGTTGATAAGATAAGTGACTAAAAGAATTGCATTATTTTAGTAACATTATTTTGTTCACTGGTGTAGGTACAACTTGTCTGATGAATTATCGTATTAGGCTCAAAGTAGACATATAATCCACTGTCCATATGTTTTATACCATTATCTATTTTTAGAATCTTAAGTTTAGCATCAAATTGTGTACATATCATTTTATGAAGTGACTGAAAGCATGATAACACATCACTTTTTGCTTTCAACAGATAAATCTATGTTAATTTAGTATAATAAACAATAAAATTAACAAAAAATTTATGAACAGATAAAAAAGTATTCTGAGTAAGTATCCAAACATCAGAGTGAATAGTCATAAAAGTCATAGAACTTCTATGGTTATTCACATGATAAGAACTCCTTTTATTATATAGTTCATATGCATTACAAAATAAAAAATTTATAAAAGTTATTTTAAACAAACTAGGATATAACTTTACTTAAAGTAAAGAAAGATAGATGTTCCAACCGTTGATGCAACTGTAGAATTTTCTGATTGACCTTCATATTGTCAAAGGCAACTTGATTCCCAGTTATGTTTTGACTTTTGTTCAAGACATATGCGCCATCCTGCCGTCTAACAGTGCCAATTCTCTTCCCTTTTTGAAGATTTTGAAAGATACAATAATCAGAAAAAAATTTAATTTTACAGTTAAGATCTCTTGTGAGAACACTAATAGATAAAAGATTATCAGAAAAATTTAGTATATGAAGGATTGAAAACATAGTCATAATGGAAGCATAATTAATGAAATCTGTTGCAGATATAAAAGTATATGATCCGTCTACCATTCGAACAATTTTCCTTTGTATTTCAAGGAGAATAGGTTAGGAAGTTTTTAGAAAAGTTTATCATGTGTCTGTTATTTTTAAAATCTATAATCTAAGTATCAAATTGGAAATAATAGGGAGATGAGCAATATCTGATTTTACTATTTTTGATGCATCACTAGTTGATGAATAGTTGAGTTGAGACAGGATATGCTTTAGGCTTTAAATCTTCTTGTTTGGACCCCAATAGTTGATGAAGAGTTATTTGAAATAGGAACAACCAATTTTTTTATTTATTTCATTGTTTAAAATAAATAGAGACATAGAAAGAGTAATACCTACTTGCTAATCTTATAGGGATAGAACACACCTTCTAATCAATACCAATGGAGGCAAAACTAGATCGGGAAAAATGGCGGCTATATGCTCAGGAACCAAAAGAGGCTGACTAGGCTGGAAAATGGCGACAGCTTGCGACTAGAGCGATCAACTGGCAGATGAGGTTGGTAGGTCAGAAACGATGGTGGAACTGGCGGCAAAAACAGATCTGCGCGACCAAAGGAGGCTGGATGGTTTTGCGCAGAAGAGATGGATTTGTGTGAGGGCTCTGCGCGTGACGGAGTTCGCTGACCAGCATGACTCACAGTGGCGGCTCAGGACGGCTTGCACGGCAGTGAATGTGTCTTGTGATTAGCAGCCACTTGAAGATAGAGACGAAAACAAGTGTGATGCGAGCCGAGGACACGTGTAATACACTGAAATAGGCCAGATCTGTGTGTCTGGTAGTAGTGCGATGTGTCGTATGAGGTTTTAACTCGGTTAACCAATGGTTGATTTGGCTCATCCATTGGAAGAAGGCCATTATTTGGTGGTGCGTGTGGCTCATGCGCTCGGAAAAATGGTCACCAGAGCAAGGCGACAAGCTAGCAGTGAGGTAGCAACTCCATTTGGGATGGTGGCAAAATGAAACCTTGATAGGAGAGTATCAACTCAGTTTTTTGTGCTATTTAGGGTTTGAGAAAATCCTTAAAATTAGAATCTTAAATTAGCTTTATTTGACTCTGATACCGTGTAGGAGTTTTACATGAAGAAATTTTTACTTTATTTTCTCATACCACATGTGATATTACAATTGAGATATATATACAAAATTTCTATTTACGAGTAAGAAAATTTACATTATTGTAAAGATTCTAATTGATTCTATTTATTAATTATATTCTTATAAAAAAGACTGTAAAGAAAAAAATATTTCGACTAATTGAGCAATGAAATATTCTAGTCAATATTGCTTGAAGAATAAGATGAAATCCGGCCACAACTTTGTCGAGTAAGGACTCTTTTTATTCATTAGATTAAAGATGAGAATCGGTCATGACATTATGAGATAAGGATCCTTAATTTTCACATGTTACATATGCTTTAGGAGAGAAGTTATTGGCAAGGAGTTTTCCAAGAAGAATGAACGGCTTCCAAGTGTGAAGTACCTAAGAGTTCAAGACTTTAAGGACTCTTTAGTTTGTAGGATCCTGATGGCTGATTGTCTAGACTTTAAGAACTCCTTGTTGGCCTTGGTTATGATGAATTGGAGAAGATTAAGAATTCTCATGAATGAGTTGACCGGGTGTCCCTAATTTGTAGGACATTGATTTGTTGCCTCTGCCCTCGGCCTAATGGATTTAGTCTCCTTCCTTTACTAGCTTCCAAGTTTAACCTAAGCCTTTCTTGTTCATTAATCCACTCTTGGATATAAATTTGAAAGGTTTGCTTGAGTTTCTTGGCCCACGATCGTGTGATTGGTCCACTAGACACCATGATAGTCCTCCATGTTGCCCAATATGGCCTGTGCTATGTTGACTAATTGAGCAATGAAATATTCTAGTCAATATTGCTTGAAGAATAAGATGAAATCCGGCCACAACTTTGTCGAGTAAGGACTCTTTTTATTCATTAGATTAAAGATGAGAACCGGCCATGATATTATGAGATAAGGATCCTTAATTTTCACATGTTGCATATGCTTTAGGAGAGAAGTTATTGGCAAGGAGTTTTCCAAGAAGAATGAACGGCTTCCAAGTGTGAAGTACCTAAGAGTTCAAGACTTTAAGGACTCTTTAGTTTGTAGGATCCTGATGGCTGATTGTCTAGACTTTAAGAACTCCTTGTTGGCCTTGGTTATGATGAATTGGAGAAGATTAAGAATTCTCATGAATGAGTTGACTGGGTGTCCCTAATTTGTAGGACATTGATTTGTTGCCTCTGCCCTTGGCCTAATGGATTTAGTCTCCTTCCTTTACTAGCTTCCAAGTTTAACCTAAGCCTTTCTTGTTCATTAATCCACTCTTGGATATAAATTTGAAAGGTTTGCTTGAGTTTCTTGGCTCACAATCATGTGATTGGTCCACTAGACACCATGATAGTCCTCCATGTTGCCCATTATGGCCTGTGCTATGTTGATCTTCATCAGCATGACCTTATATATACAAGTTCTTGAGAGTAGGAAATGAAATCTACAATGAATTACATAAGAGTATGTTTCACTAGTAAATCCTTTAATCTAATTTAACCCTACTTGCATGTGATATATACTTTCTGATATACATGTTTATAAATATATATAATAGTTTACAACAAAGAGAGATAGAGAGAGATCCATAGATAGGCAGAGAGAAAATGGAAAAGAGAGAGAGAGAAACGTTATGCAAAAGGAAGTTTCAGATTTGTTCGTCCTGTAGGGTCAAGAAAGAGGAGGGGGTTATAATCAATTTTGAGGGAGATAAGGAAACAAAAAGAGCTAAAAGGAGAGTTTTGACAGTTCCTAAATCGAGATTCCTTTCTTCTTCTTTGCTATGGTTTACGGAACAGAGAGTGAAGGAGGAGAAATTGGCTGGAACACAGGTGATTCTGAGAGTGATTTGGTGGAATACTTGAACTACGAAGGGTTTAAGAGAGGATCTCTACGTCGTTTTTCTTTTATTTTTGTTTCTTTTCTGGTGTTGAAATTGAGAGCAAAAGTAAATGGAGATTTTACCGAAGTTGTTGAGGAAGGATGGAGAAATTGGCTTTTATTTTTAATTTATGATTTTGATTTTGTATTTTTGGATTTGAAATCTGAAACTTCCCTTTGCATAACTGAAACTTCATTTCCATCATGCTTAATCAGAGAAGGAGAAGATGAGCAAGAGGTCAACTAAAGAAGATGAAAAACTTTAATTAAATTAATTTTAAATGTAACTATTATTCTATCTCAAAAGAATTTGATTATTATTATTTTTAAGTTAAAAAAGTTGTAAAAAGTTGAGAAAAAAAACAAAAAAAATTGGACTATGAGCCTTTTTTCTCTTTCCAAACATACCTTGAGTCTACCGGTTTTTCCATCTAAAAATTAACGACTTAAAGCTTGAACACTCTTCAGAAATTTCGTGGACTTTTTCGAAATAGAAAAAAGTTAGGGCGAAAATTTAGTATTGGTCATAGTTAGGGGGGACTAAATTGGATACTTGCCTAAGATATTATCATTGTTGTTCTTGTTTTAATTCTTGATGTCTTCTCAGGTAATAATTTGATGGAGCGATTTCATGATCAGTTTTACCCTATGCTAATTAATCAGAATATGTCATGGTTGCCAGTGGATTCTACTATAATACGCATGCCTCTATCATCAGAATGCTTGAAAGATGGACTTCAGTTGGGATATAAGAAAATAAAGCAAATATCTGATAGATTTTTGGAGCATGCATCTAGAATGCTTATTTATCTGAAGTCAGTTTTGCAGGTATAATTGGTGCAAGTTATTTTTTATATTGCATCTGTGTATCTTTTGGAGATTATAGTATTGGCATATATTATTCCCAACCTTTCCTTGTGACAGGAGATAAGTATTGGTCTATGTAGAGTTCAAATAATTTTAAATAGATCTCTTTGATATATTGCTATAGAGGAAGAAGATTGTGTCAAAATTCACTTTGTGTTTAAATAGCTTAAAGTAATCAATTTGAAAGATGACATTGCTTACTGTTAAGAAGTGTGCATGAGGCTATAATTAGAGTAAAATATATATTGGTAATATATCTAAGATCTTTATAATCTTTGTAATTATACTATTTCTTTTTGTTACTATCACTTGTATGTAGATGGCGCTAATATTTAATAAAATACACAACAACTAATTTTTCCACATGGTATCACGACCATTTTCTGCCCAGACCAACCACAGCCACGCGCTCTGCTTCCTTTGTCGCACAGCTTGCTGCTGCGTCTTTGTCCAAGTTGCCAAGATCCTGTGTAAATTGCCCCTGTTGCTCTGCCGCTCCAGATGCAGTTGCTCCACTAGACACTAGCCAATCATACCAGCCACACAGACGAGCCACTAATTCGCTGCATGCTGCCTTCAAACTTCTTCTGATTTTTTTTTTCAGCCTTAATTGCTCTAAAATTTTTAAAATATGTCTGAGGTTACATCACAAACTAATGACGAATATCCCCCAATTCAAATGACTTACTGATCTACTGTGAAGACTCACATTTAATTTGGTCACAATTAATCTGTACCACTTTCAAGGGAAAAGGAAAACTCAACCAACTTCTTGGAACTGGAACAAAGCCAAGAGATCCAACCTTTGATGCTTTGATGAAAAAGACTCAATGATTATGACCTGAATGTGGATTTCCATGCAGATAGAAATAAGTAAAACCGTGGTGTTCCTGCCTATTACAAAGGAAGTGTATGACATGATCAGAGAGATCTATTCTAGAGTCAAGAATGTGACCCAAATTTATGACATGACCGTCAAGATATTGTCCATCAAGTAAGGAAATAGGCCACTGAGTATTCTAAAATGTTGAAGAATTGTTTGTAGGAGTTGTTCTAGTACTACTCCCTCACTATGGAGTGCAGCAAGAATGCAGCCCGCTTGAAAGCAGTTCGTGGAAAAGGATTGTGCCTACGAGTTTATGGCAGGACTCAACCTAGAATTGATCAAGTTAGAGTTCAAATTGTGGAAAAAAAGGAATTACTCATTGCTGATAATGAGGTAATCTCTATTGTTACTGCAGAAAAAAGCAGGAGAAAGGTCATGCTAAAATCCTACTCCAATGATAGTTTGGCCTTGATTTTCAAAAGCCTCAAGTGATGCTAGCAGAAAAAAAGTCACAGTCCCACTGATAACTCATCCTCTAGAGGGGAAAACATGAGCAATCTTTACCTTCCATGAAAAAACTAAACACTAAAGAAAAGTGTTGCAAATTACATGGGAAATGTAGTACCTCCGGTAAAAAATGAAAATACAAGAATAATTCCCAGAAAACTCAAGTACACGCACAAACCATTCACAGGGAGAAGGAAAAACTCTGGAGTGAAGGGCATAGAACTCACCATTTCCTTTATTCTTACTGATGTTGTTCATGTTACTCGACTGTGCACAAATTTTATATCAGTAACTAACAAAACCTTAATTTTAAAGTAATCTTTTCTCCTTATTGAGACTTTAAGGATCAAGCCTTGGAGAGGATAATTGGATGTGCTGAGATTTGGGACAAGTTATACCTCCTGGATACACATGAAATATCACGTAGTGCCCTCTTAATCAGTACACTAGATAGATACACTTTGCAGAAGATTGAGACACTCTCCTTTCTCTATTTTCAATTATGTTTCCTTTTTTATTTCTTTATTTTAATAACGAACATACATTGCAGTGTATGTGAATTGGCAAAACACTGACGTAACTTTTCCCCTAATAATAAAAAAAATAACTTTCCTTTTACTTTGATGCATAGTGATATTTGGGTCTCTCAAATATTGCTAATATTTTTGAGGCTTGATGGTTTCTCTCATTTATTGATGATTGTGCTCTAGTAAACTTGGTTTTCTATTGAAGTCTAAAGATGAACTTAGTCATACTCTTCCCCAGTTTTATACTATGATCCACACACAATTTGGGATAAAATTAAATACTTTAGAATTAATAATGTTCGAGATTATTTTAGCAAAAAATTATCATCCTTTCAAAAATAAAGAATTGTTCGTAGGTTTTACTATGTTTATTCTCGACAATAAAATGGAGTAGTAAAACGAAAAAACAACCACTTGCTTACTGCTATTGTAACTTTTTTATTTCAAGGCCATGTTCCTAAGCAATACTAAGGGAAAGTTGTATTAACTGCGATCTAGCTAAAAAACTAATTACCATCACGGGTATTAAATCTGTGCAGTTTCATGGAAGTTCTTGCCTCCTTCTCTGAGGTAAGAGTTTCCAATAATGTTGTACCCTCGGGTCTTTGGGTGTATTGCTTATGTCCATATGCATTAGTCACGAAGAGGAAACTTGACCTTAGAGCCATTCAATGTGTTTCTGTGGGATACTTGTTCACCTAAAAAGGATATAAATGTTACTATCCTATGACCGAAAATCCTTTGTATCCACTAATATCATATTTGTTGGGCATAATCTTTCTTTAATAAATCTTATCTTCTAGAGCAGACTACTACACTGGAAGATAAGAAGGATCAACTTTCTTTTGATCTTCCTTTATCTTTAGGCAATACATCATCTATAATAACTATCTTACACAAAACCCAGTGCCCATAATGCAAACCTAACCTCATACCTCTAAGGAATGAGTCTGAACCTTAGCCCAAACTAGACTCACGGTTCTCTAGGTTTATTCAAGACATAAGAACCTAGAATCCAATCAAAATAAGTCAAGAATCTGAGTCGAATGTTGGAAATGAGGTAAACTCTAATACCACTATTTTTTATGATTGCTTACATACCTATTGCACTTAAAAAGGGACAAAAGAGTGCACTAAACATCCTCTCTATCATTTAAATTTCATATCCCTTGAAAATAACAAGTTTGTTATGAATATGAATACATTATCTATTTCCATAATATTATTCCAAGTGTTAACTAGTGATGAATGGAAAAATATCATAAATGTTGATATGTCTTAAAAAAAAATTAGACATGGGAAATAGTGGATCTATCCAAAAGAAAAAGAGTGGTAGGTTATAAATGGATATTTACTATCAAATATAAGTCTGACGGAGTAATTGAAATATATAAGAAGAGATTGTTGGTTAAAAGGTTTTCCCGGACCTACGAAATTGACTACCAATAGACATTTGCACCCATTGAAAAGATGAATACGGTACGTACCTTACTATCATAAGTTGCTAACATCAAATGAAAATTACAACAATTTGATGTGAAAAATGCCTTCTTTTATGGGAAATTAGAAGAAAAAATTTATATGGAGATTCTCCTCGAGTTCACAAAGGGAGTAACTACAAACAAAATATGCAAACAACCTCCTCCTGCATGGTTTGGAAGAGATGTGAAGGTAATGCCATCCATAGGGTATAGACAGAGTAAATGAGATCATACCTTGTTTATTAAGCAATCAGAGTTAAAGGTAATCCAAACCCTCTTGGTATATGTAGGACATAATTGTTAAAGAAAATGATGAAGGTGAAAAAGTAGCTCTCAAGCAATACTTGGTTAGGGAGTTCGAGATTAAAAAATTTGAGAAGTTAAAATATTTCCTTAGGACAAAGGTGACCTATTCAATGTTAGGTATATTTGGCTCCTAACAAAACTATGTCATGATCTTTTAAAGGAAACTTGCAAACTAGTATGTAAGTCTGTTAGCAACCACATTTATCTAAATCATAAGTTGGGATTGGTAGAAGAAGACCTAGATGTGGGCATGAAAAAGTACGAGGGACTAGTGGAGAAATTAATATATTTGTCACATAAAAGTGCAAACATTGCATGTGTAGTAAGTGTGGTGAGGCAGTTCATGCACAAGTTCAAAGAAGTGAACCTATACAGAATACTCCATTACTTGCAAGGTACTCCATGGAGGGAATTATGTTTAGAAGACATAATCTTGAAGCATATAGATACGAACTATGTTGGACCACTAGTTGACTGGAGATCTACTTTTGGGTATTGTATTTTTCTCACAAGGAATCTAATGAATTGGAGAAATAAGATGTGAATATAGTAGCCTAATTTAGTACAATATCAAAGTTAAAGGCTATGGCTCAAGGGGTCTGTGAGGTTTCATGGGTTGAAAATGATTTTTGAAGACTTAAAGATCTAATAGATGAACCCTACGAAACTCTACTGTGACAATAGGTCAGCAATTAGTATCGCTTATAATCTAGTACACATGAAAAAATTAAATACATTGAAGTAGACAGACACTTCATCAAATCAAAGNNNNGGAGAGCATACTTGACTAAAGGGTTTCATTAGGGTAGAGGTTATATGATAATATATCTGACTCTGTAATCTTTGTAAATAATATTGTTTCCTTTTGTTATTATATTTATTAATATATATAATGGACTCTAATATTCAATAAGATACATAGTAGTTCATACTTCTGCACTTCATATGAGATTCTCACCTTTATTTCATTTTACCTATAGGAATCTAATCATAAATGAGTTTTACTAAGGACATTGATCCGGTTTTTGATTTATCATAGAATGAATGCAATTGATTCGCGTGATTTTAAAGATAGATGGCCAAGATATTAGAACTGTGTTCTTGAGTTATCATGGTTACTATTACCTTTCCCTTCCTCATCACTGTTCGGTTCCTGAGCCATCATGGTTGCTATTCCCTTTCCTTTCCTCGTCACTGTTCTCTACCCTTCGCGTAATCTTAATATCTTGCCCTCTTGTTATAACCAGGAAATTCTGACGTCTTCAATTTCCTATTGACTTCCCCTTCTCCCTACCTGAACTCTATCCACTAGTCTTTCTTCATACTCTCTCTCATTCTTCTATTTAGTTTTCTCAATAAGTGCACGCTAGATTTTCAAACTCATTAATGGTCCATATTCTTCAGCACCTTACTTGAAAATTTGAAATATATATTAGTCCATTTTTTTGTTTTGTTAATTCTGGGAAACTTTTTCTGTGGAAAACTATAAACCTAACATATAACAATATTTCTAAAACCAGGTCTCATTTTCAACATGGGAGCAAGGATCTCTACAGCCATGTCAGGATTATTCAGTTTCTGTTGATTCATCAACTGCTATTATGAGGAATCCTTTTTCAGAAAAGAAGTGGAGGAAGTTTCAAATATCAAGGCTCTTTAGTAGCTCAAGTTCTGCCACAAAATCACATGTAATAGATGTGAATTTGTGTTTGGGAGACCGTAGAGTAATAGACAGATGGCTTGTTGTGCTCAGCCTCGGTTCTGGTCAAACAAGAAATATGGCTCTTGATAGGTATGTTGGAAACTAATGGACATATTTCTTTGATTCATGTTGCATTTTGAAAATGAGGATACAAATCTCAAGTATTTTTGGGCTTCTATCTTAAATTACTTTGTGGCTTGCAGTTGAAATTTATGTTTCTCTAATAAAGAAAAATATTTTCTCCTTGGAACCATATTAATGTCTTAAGCTGAGGAAAGTGAATGGTTTTGAGCAGCGAACTTGGCTCTTAAAATATTTAGCCAATGGGGTAAATTTTTCTTATTTGTGAAAGGCAGTTGAAATTAAGTTAAGTGTTATTTTTTTTTCTTGTAGCAGGAGAATGGTTGCAGTTCCCATACATCCATTGGATGGTTTCTAGAGCGCAAAATTGTTACCTTAAGTTATCTTCTGTCTGTTGCCTGGCTCTTTGTTATGCCAACTGCAGATTTTGCCAACATGACTTTAATCATGAGTTTAGTGAAACAGAACACAGAAGCAGTATTTAAAGAGGTCATAAAAAGAATGGATTTCATTTAACATTAGGTAAATGTCAAACAAGCCTATAAGGGGTTTGTGTGATTTTGTCTCTAATCAGCCAAGATTATGCTCCTATAATTATATAAGTAAGAGTCAGATTTATAAATCTATAGATAGCTTCTTGTAAATAGAACACTAATCTTTTTTTTTTTTTAAAGAAGATTATTAATATGTATTTCAATACATGTCATTGCAATTTGAAGCTGATAGACATGGTATTGAATTACTTTTTATTTCTTGATTTTGCCGGTCTAGGTGGATATCTTTCTAGATTTTGTTAGCTAAACATTATGCAATCTTGCACAAAGGAAGAGTTATCTATGGAGATGAAAAGTGTACTGATCAATTATGCTAGACTCAAGACAATCATCAATTAGTTCATGTTTCTCATTAGAATTAATTAGTTATAGCTGTTTTGGTGAGAATTCCAGGATGCAAATGTGACGCTAGGGTACCAACAAGTGGTATTCTTGGTGGAAAGAAAATTATTCACGAAATGGAGAGACCTTGAACAGGGGGAAGAGGGGGCAGTGACAATCAAAGAGGAAAGAAAGCGTTATCACTTTGTTATTCACCTTTGGTTGCGAAAATTCGATTGGTTGAGGAATTGTCTAAATATCCTTAGTGGAGGAAGGACTCCTGTACAGCCCAATGTATAGCATGGAGGATGGGTACTTGATGATAGCTCTCAACACAAATGTGCAGGAGAGGCATATGGAGTAGTAGAATTTAGAGGGCAATTTTGAGGACTTGGATCCCAGGGGGAATGGAAGGGAAGGGAGTGGGTGGAAGAAGATGGTTGCAATCTGTTGACTAGAATATTTTGTTGCTTAATTAGTTGAGATTGTGTAGTTAATTAGAATCCTACTAGAAAAGTAATTTCTTTATCTATAAATATAAATTCTCTATATATTCCCTAGGTATAACAATATAAAGTGTATCAGAAATAACAATGAATATTTCTTTTACTCCAAAAATCTATATGATGGTATCAGAGCCATAATAAGTTTATTTTAGAGTTATAAGTTCATAGTTTTTTTCAAACTCTAAAATAGCACAAATAGGCTAAGTTGGTACCCACCTATTAAGATTTAATCTCACCATCCACCTAGACGAAGTTACAGCTCAGTGCCGGGCTGCCCTCCTAGAATCCGGTCACTGCTTTTCATGTGTGTGAGCCACACATGCTGCCAGTAAAACTCCATTCGGCCCAAAAATCGTCGGAAGGCCGCCAAAAATTCTCGATTGGGATAGATCTAGCATTTTTCACACGCGTTACGGCTCAAATTGCGCATTTTCAGCATTCATTCACGTGGCTGCCGCGCGTTCCATTGCTGAGTTTCGCCGCATTCCGCCGCGCCATTCCAGCCTTCTGCGCACAGAGACGTCCAGCTCTCGCCAAGCCATTCGTGTGCTTGAGCTGGGCCGATTTGAGCTGATCCAAGCCACTGCCTTGTTAGAAAGATCTATTTTCGATCATCTTCTTCAAGGTTGCTCTGTTTTTTCGACTTGTATTGATGCTGATAAAAGGGTCTTTTTTATCTCATTGAGATTAGCTGTTGGTAATTATTCTTTTTCTATCTTAAGTTGCTTTAAATAATGATAGGAGTAAAAAAATTGGTTGTTCCTAGTTTAAGTAACCCTTCATCAACTATTGGAGCTTTTTCAAATGAGGAGATTCAAAACCTGAAGCGTCTCATATCTCAATTCAACAATTCATCAGTTATTGGTATGTCAAAAATGGTAAAATCAGGTATTGCTTATCTCCCTGCTATTTTTAATTCTAATACTTAGATAATAGATTCTAAAACTAACAAACACATGACAAGTTTTTTTAAGGATTTCCTAGCCTATTTTCCTTGTACTAACCGGGAAAATATTCGTAAAACAGATAGATCATATATTGCTGTATTTGGAATAGATTCGAATAAATGTACTCCAACCATTACTCTATTTTCAGTCTTTTATGTGTTTAGTTTTTATAACAGTCTCTTATACATTAGTGCCATCACTAGAGATTTTAACTGGAAAATTGAATTTTTTCCAAATTATTATATCTTTCAGATCTTCAAACAAAGAATACGATTGATATTAGTAAACTGCAGAATGATGTATATATCTTGGATAAAAGTCAAAGTATAATTGGGAACCAAGCTACCTTTGACAACACGGAGGTCAATCAAGAAATTGTATAGTTGCATCGACAATTGGGACATCCATCTTTTTTTATTTTAGAAAAGTTCTATAGCAGTTTGTTTAAAAAAACTTTCATGAAATCTTTATTTTGTAATGTATATGAACTTAGCTAAACATAGAAGTAGTTCTTATTATGTGAGTAATCATTGAAGGTTTATCCTTTTTATAATTATTTACTCTTATGTTTGGGGATCTATTCAGAATATCTCTTTATCTGGTCATAAATGATTTGTTAATTTATTGACTATTATACTAAATTAACATGAATTTATCTGTTCAAAGTAAAAAGTGATGTATTCTCATGTTTTTGTTTATTTCATAAAATGATATGTATGCACTTTGATGCTAAAGTTATGATTTTAAGAAAAGATAACGGTATAGAATATATGGATGGTGAGTTTCCGTGCCTACTTGGAGTTAAATTAGATAATCCATCAGATGAGTTGTGCCTATATTAGTGAACAAAATGGTGTTGCTGAAAAAAATAACACACGTATTGGAGGTAACTCGGTCTCTTATGTTTATCATGAATCTATCCAAAAGTTACTACGAGATGCAGTTTTTGTGGTTACTTATCTTATCAACAGAATGCTTGTAGGAGTTCTTGATTTTAGAAGTCTTTTAGAAGTTTTGGACGGAAAAAAATCATGAACTGTTCCTCCAAAAATGTTTGGATGTGTTTGTTTTTGTCTATGCTAGAAATGTGGACAAGTTCGAATCCAAGTCTCTTAAATGTGTATTTGTTGGATATTTCCCTACTTAAAAAGGTTACAAATGTTATCATCTTTCATCTAGAAGATACTTTGTGATTATGAATGTTATTTTTAGAAAATCTGAGCGCTCTTTAAATCCAAATCCAACACCTTTTCAGGGGGACTGAGAAAGAAGAGGTTATACCCATTTTGTTAACTCTTGACAGTTATATTCAGGAGGAGATTTTTAGTTCGGAAGGTTTCATTTAAGAGGTAATGTGGGGCACATAGATAAATCAGACTTGAAGAGATATTGAAGGAAGAATAAAACATAGGTCATTGTGCAGTCTGACCTAGGTCAAGAATCTTCCTCAGTTCCTGAATTACTAATGAGTTACATTTATTTTGTTATTTATCTGATGATGTGGATAAACTCATTGCTGCATGAGTTCGGTATTGTACTAAACACTTATATCTAATTTTATTTTTTATGACTCTTTATCTGCCTCCTACAGAGTATTTGTTTTGTCTGTTTTCTCTGTTCTATTTCACAAGATTAGAGAGAAGTTCTACGAGATCTTAAATGGAAGAAAATTATGATTGAAGAAATGAAAGTTTTAACAAAGAATCAAACTTGGGAGCTTGTTTCACCTCCACTGGGAAAAAAGATAGCTTATTGCATATAGGTGTTTACTGTGAAACAGAAAGTAGACGGGTCGATTGAAAGGTATAGAGTTAGATTAGTGGCTAAAGGGTTTACTCAGACTTATGGAGTTCACTATTAGAAAACCTGTGTCTGTCGCGAAGATTAACACAATAAGAATACTACTATCTTGTGCAGCTAACGTTAATTGGAATTTACAACAGTTTGATGTGAAAAATATTTTCCTCCATGAAGATTTAAATGAAGTACACATGAAAATTTTCATTGAATGTGAAGATGAAAGAATACAAGAGAAGGTTTTCAAATTAAAAAAGAGCTTATACGAGTTGAAACAGTTTCAAAAGCATGGTTTGAAAGGTTTAGAAAAGTTATGATATTTTTTAGATATCAACAAAATAATGTTGATTATATCCTGTTTATTAAATATCATTAGGATATGGTCACTATTCTAATTGTCTATGTAGATAATATTATAATAATTGTTACTTCTATCCTCAAGACGTATTTTAATTGTTTCAAGTCTTTAGTATTAAATTTGGTATGCAAGAATGACTTGAGAGAGGACATTTCTGCATGGTCATTTCCTGTAATCACAATATCATCAGTATAAACAACAAGAAGTATGATACTAGTTGTTGATTGTTTATAAAAGACTGAATGATCACATTTGCTCTTTTTCAATCCAAATTCACAGACTACCTCACTAAACTTGCCAAATCACGCGCACGGGGATTCTATTTCAGACCATACAAAGATATTTTTAAATAACAGATTTTTCCGTATTCCTCCTAAACAACAAACTCAGGTGGCTGCTCCATATACATTTCTTCTAAGAGATTACTATGAAATGCATTTTTAATGTTCAGCTGGTGTAAGGGCCAATCGTAGGAGACTGCAATAAATATGAATAAACGGATAGAAGTAAGTTTGACAATTGGAGAGAATGTATAAGAATAATCCATCCCATAAGTCTGAGCATAACCTTACGCTACCAGTCGAGCTTTAAGTCTTGCCAGAGAGCCATCTAAATTCACTTTGACTGCAAATACCCATTTGCACCCTACAACCTTTTTTTTTTTGGGTAAATCAACCATATCCCAGGTATGATTGTTATCAAGAGCATTTATCTTCTCAAGCATGACATTACGCCAATCAGGGTAATTTAGAGCCTCCTTAACTGTCTTGGGTATAGAAGTTGAATATATAGAAATAATTAAAGCACTAAACAAAGGAGACAGATGGTCATATGAGATAAAGTAGCAATGGGATAAGTTGACGTAGGAATGGTGCACTGACGTTTACCTTTACGAAGACTAATGGAAAGGTCAAGATCCTGTTAGATAGACTCAGATGACGACCGATCTGGTGCAAGATACCTGGTGTGAAACTATAGATGAGCCACTCATCGTCTATCATCTGATTTGTAGATTTAGACAATGAGGAAAAGAGCGGTGTATTCTTTGAAAAGACTACATTAGTTGATATCAAATTTTATTGAGATATGGAGAGTAGCACCAGTATCCTTTTTGAAGGCAAGAATATCCTAAAAGTACATATTTCAAGAACTTTAGATTCAATTTTGTCTCAATACATCACACATCTCGAAGATAATAGGTGCTATCAAATATCTTAAGTTACACCGAATCAAAGATTTGGTTGGAAAAAGAAGACTGTAAGAAGCATCTCCATTAAGTACTGTAGATGACATATGATTAATTAAGAACATGCCGTTGAAACAGCATCAGCCCAGAACTGCTTGAGGACTTACATTTGGAACAAGAGGGCTCGAACTGTCTCAAGTAAATAGCTGTTCTTTCTCTTAGTAACTCCATTTTAAGATGGTGTATCTACACAGGAGAATTGGTGAAGGATCCCGTGTTGAGTCATATAGTTTTGAAATGAGTCTAATATATATTTTTTGGTATTATTAAGTTCTCAATACATGGACATAAACTTTGAATTGTCTTGACTTTAGCACAAAGGGCACAAAACTGAGAAAATACTTCAGAGCGATTCTTTGTAAAATACATTTATGTCATTCGAGAAAAATCATCCACCAAAGTAGCGAAATACTTAAACCCAGTTTTGGATGAAATAGGACAAGAGCCCCAAACATCAGAGTGAAATAACTCAAAAGCAGACTCAGCTCATCCATTGACTTTTAGACCTGACAGACTTCTGTGATGTTCTGCAAACTGATATGACTCACAATCCAGTGAGAGTACATCGTAAAACTGAGAACATAACTTTTTCAACACAATTAGAGAAGGATGTCCCAATTAGTAATGTGCTGTAAATGGAGAGATAGCACTAGAGTAGACAACTGATCGAAGTACCCAAGTGTTAAGAATGTAGAGACTATCTGATACATTTTCTTTACCAATAATCTACTTTGTCATAAAATCTTGAAGAATACAGTGATCAGGAAAACATGTAATATAACAATTCAAATGTTTAATAAACTTATTCACAGAGATTAGAAGGCAAGTTTAGGTAGATTTAACATAGATGACAGGGTAATAGATGATATTGGTTTCATAGTCTCCGATCACACAATGTTATAGATCAACCCATCAGCAATAATTATAGGACAAGATACTTTGTGTGGTCGAAATCTAGAAAAATTTTAGGATTACCTGTCATGTAATTTATAGTACCAAAATTAATCACCCATCTGTTCAAGGAGGAGATAAAACATTTTTTCTCTAATTCAATAATAGTAGAAAATTTATTCATAAATTCTTGATACTGAGTAAATTTAACATATTCGTTAGCTGAAATCATAACAGTTCTCTTAAAAGATGAGCTATCAGTAGCAACAACAATATTAGCGGCCTGTGTTATCCGATTACGATTTTACAATTTCTTACAATACTCCTTTATATGTTTTTGTTCACAACAGTAATAACAGATAATATTATCATCCATTTCAATTCAGAAATTACGAAAAAATGCCATTCAAAATACCAAAAACACAATAAGTAGAAATACTAAAAAAATCACTGCAAATATACCAGAAAATCTGAGAAAACAGAGTATCTCTTCACGTGCGGGTATCAACAACCCTACCAGAACCTCATTGTCAACCACCAGAGATCTGCGCCGCTGCACGCGCCTTCGTCAGAGAACAACGTGCCGCCGCTGGAGTTACACACACCATCGTTTGAAACTACCAAACAGCCTCCTTTCGGCTGGAAATCACCGGAGAACTTTAATACCAGCCCTAATCTGGAATGACACTCGTAGAAATAGCTGAAATCGGGCCGGAGAGCAGAGAATCGCTTTCTGTTGCGCAATTTACTTCGCTGCGCCTTTTCTTTCTTAGGCCTTTTGGTTTCGTGCATCAAGCCAGTTGACCGAGCCGTTTCGTTGCTTCTATCCTTGAACGGGAAAGCAAAATGCCCAAAATACACTCCTCCGGCAAACCCGACACGCATAGCCTTACTCCGCTACGCAAACCACCGTTTCGGCTTCTCCTGTGTACATCAACATGATGGCCATACTCTAAACTGGCCGGAGATTGCTGGTCGACTTCCTCCGACGTCGGGAACGGGTTGTTTAACCCTTTTTTTGATCTGATAAAATTTGACTCCTAAAACCCTAACCCTAACTTTAACTCTGATACCATGTAAAAAGGTAGTGAAGGAAAAATACTGAATATTTGCATATCTCTTATTGAAATGAGAATAGGGATATATATACATGTAGATGGATTCAGATATAGTAACCAACATAAAACAGCTTATTAATTATGCTAACATATTTGGAAAGATAATCATACTATTATATACATGGAATATTTTTTAATATTCTAACAAACCGAATTTAATTTTCAAATTGCCAAGCATATTGCCATGTCATTTGCTACAGAGATGTAGCTTGTCGATTATGAGGGAAGAGGATATTGCAACAAAGAAAAAAGTTGTAGAAAACTACTCATTACTCATACTGGTTGATTTAAGAAGAAAACACTCGGTGAGGTAGCTCCACAATGCATATACCACACATTTGAGTTATAGCGAGGCCATTTATAAGGGGCTAGGGTGGAACCCTGGCATAAGGCCAGGCGCCCAAACCTAGATCTAGCTGAGACAGGCCAGACCATTGTGGGTTGAAGAGAGAATTGTTAGGAGATGGGTACCCAAAAAAATCAGTTCCCAACCCAGCCTCTCGAGCGAGCCCCCCATCAATGGTTGAGCATCTGAATCGTACGGTTGAAGCCGATGCCAAAGGGAACTAGACAGATTCTCAACAATGAATGAAGGGAAAAGAAAGATTGAAGTCGATCATTGTTTGTCAGAAATATCAATAACTAGTTCCTCGATCGACACTTGGGGGAGGGCAATGATTGTCGATTGAACCTTAGAAAATTTAGACTTTTCTGAACTTATGAAGTGAGTGGAGGAAACGGTAGTGGAATTGAAGGGTTTGTGCAGTCAGAAGCATCTAGAAACAATGAAAAACAGTGACAGAAAGCTTGATAACAACCTTGATCTCATAATAGAGACAAACAATGTTTGTTCATATTCCAATTCTCTTGCTGTTGAAGAAGAAAAAGAGCTAGAGCAAGCTTGGAAAACCTAAATCAAGATGCAAGGAGCTCCAATTCCTATCACGAGTAAAAGAAGGAAAGAGAGTGACACGG